TGGCACTCAGGAATGGGATGCCGATGTCCTCAGTCGGAGTGCTTCTACAGGGAGATTTCCAGAAGAACCTCAAAGACTCTTTCCGGGTAGCAGATGCTGCAGATGCTGTGCAAGTTTCTTCGGTGCTGTTTGATTTGCTACAAGCTCGTGGCATCCGTTTGCAGATCCTCTTTGACAACACCTTTGATCGCGGGTTGCATGGACAACAAGAATTGCTGCTGGGTCTAACCAGGTATGCCTTTGAATGTGGTCTCCACCTGCTCGTCGTCACTCAATCTGAAAAAGCTGTCCAGGAGGCAGCCAATCTCAATGGAGCACGCTCCCGAGCTTGGGCACAAAACGATGCACGCAGCTACAGATGGGAACGCATGGAGGCTCGGAAGCACGTGCAGAACAACCCATTGCGTTCCAACGAGCAGATCATCGACGCGGTTCTGAACATGACCCAAGTTCCGGATCAAATCGGCAGGCGGCGACCTGTGGACGTAGATGAGTACTTGTGCACGGGTCGAAGACCGCAAGCACCACAAGCAGGACAAGGCTCACAGTTCAAGTTTCGCATGGCTCACATGGTTGCCAAATGAAGCTCCGCAACATGGACTGGGTGAGAAGTCTTGTAGTCTTGTCTTGTTTTGTCTGTCATCGTTCTCTGCTTCCGTTTTGCAGAAGCACGTTCTCTGGCCTTCGTGCACATGTCATGATGTGTGCTTCTTCGGAGTGTGACCATGGAGCTGGAGGTTTCGAGATACCAGCCTTTGACGTTCTGTGAGGCGCGACATCAGAGCCCGTCGTCTGGTTGCGGGGGCTGGCCCGGAAGGACGGCGTTGTGTGCGCATGCAGTGTTAGCCCTGTCGTGGAGTTCTTGGCCGGGCTTGGTGTTGGCCCTGGTGCGGGATGTGGGGGAGGGGCTGGGCTCGGGATTGCTGGAGTGAGTCTGTAAGTTTGCTGTCAGTTCGTGTTTGCAGCGATGACCTTCGACTTGCAGGACAAACAGCTCACGGCCAGGCCCTCGGAGGATACCGGTTGTGCATTCATATGTTGTCCTTGTTGTCGAAAGCTGTGCATTCTCCAAGACGGGTGGTTTATTTTGTTCGCATCTCTTGTGAAAAGTTGCCGACCCACAAATGAAGTTCGAGGATGGCGAGGAGTTTGAGCCCACGGGCAATGCGTTCCAAGTGAAAGGAGCCTTCGCCAACGCCGCGACCTTAGCTGCGCCACTGAATCGATTGCCTCAGTGTGTTTCTGTGTTCATGAGTGGTTCTCCGTCCTTTTGGTGTGCGATGTCAGGTGGCCCTGTGCTTGGAACTGGCGCGTGGATTTATGTCGGGAGTTGTTTGCAGAAGGGCGATGACAAAGATTGTAGTTTTGAGGGTAGCCGTGAAATCAGGCAATCAAAGCGGAAGAGGAACTGTCCAGAATCCTTTGTTTATCGCTGCAGGCAATCGACCCTTCCTTGCCTCCACTTCAAGCGTCCAAGATCAACATTTACACCCAGCAGGAGAGCATTTCACGTCAAATCCGCTCTGCCACCTAGGACCTAGGCCTCCCTGTGCCGCGTCTCAGCCTGACTTTGCAGGACAGTAACTGGGTGAAGGAAGAAACGATGTCAGCAAGTCTGCGCGACACAACTGAGCTCAGCACTTGGTTTCGGTGACTTGTCAGCTTAGGGGTTTTTGCCGTCGCCCGCTCGCAGGTCAGATTGCTACGGGTTCACGCTGCCACAAAAGACGGACGATGTGTAAGTTGCATGTATGTGTGTGTCTGTGTGTGCCTCAGCCGCGCTGGAGTTTGAGCGCTGTGAACTTGCATCCTCCCTGTCGTGTGAGCTTCTCGGCTGAGGTAGCAGCAGCAGTCACTGACGTTTTTATGCGCTGCGGCTTTGCTTGACTTCCATGATTAGCAGTCAGCAGTTCGACGCTCACATTTCTTGAGCAGGCTACGCCGATCAAGTTTTCAAGTCAAGCGGTGCATGCAACGGGTACAGGACCAGCGACAGATGCCAGCTGGTCAGAAGCAAGTTCACCAAGGGCTCTTAGTCGTGCTTGAGTGCACAGGGGAGCAGCACACGAGTCCGCAGTCAAGCTGAGCCCGGAAGATCCCCCCTCCTTGCGTGGTTACTTGGGTTATTTAGCTATGGAGTCAGACCGCAACATCAGATTTAGATACCTAGGGGACCTCCAATCGAAATTAGGGTCGGTTCGATTCGATGCATACAGGTATTTAAAAGTCCTTTTTTATCATATGGCCCGATAGACGAATCTATATATGAGCATGTGCATAGACGTGGTCACGACCCGGGCAAGGGCTGGTTCGTGGAGCACTTCGCTTTGATGATCGAGCTGACGCGCATGCTCACGAACCTGACGGGGCCTCAGACCTGTAGATTTTTGGGTTTGGGATGGCCCCCCTGACTCCACGGATCCGATGCTTCCACGGACCTGTCGCCCGAACACGCACGAGGCTGTTATGACGCCGGACACGATGGCTGGTGGCTTACAGTGTTGTGCTGTTGATAGCAAGCAGATCGCATAAGGCTATGCGATACGCAAGCTTTCAAGCTTCTGGAGCCCAGTTTCTGATATGCCACGAGGCGAGCAGGCGAGGTACTCGCAGCCGCAGACAAGCCGAATACAACCCCCGAAAGCAAGAATACAGGGAAGGATCTCGAAGCTGAGGGTTTCCTCCGCGATGTGCTTCGTCACTGTGCCGTGCTCTTCCACACAGCCGCTCGGCTGAACACGCATATCACCTTGAGCGCCATGGGTGGAGCACTCGTCGAGTCTCAGCAAATAACAAGATCACTCATGGTGCAAAACTGCCGAGAGGAATGTATCTTCAAACGCCCATCGCCAGGATCAGGGAGCTTCGGGACAACTTCTGAGCCCTAGAACCTGAGCCCGAAGCCCGTCTCGGGTGAAAAGGCCGAGGGTGCAGCTCCTGCACATTGGGATATGTTCAGAGTTTGGGCTGCTGGAGTTCAGCTGGCATTCGTTTCGGTCTCCCAGATAGCCATAAGGTGCCCTATCCACTGCACAGAAACTGTCAGAAGGCCCCAGAACAAACTCCAACTAGGATTTAGGGTTGCGGGGAACTCGCCCTCTCTTGTAACCCGTCCCTGAAGCCCTACAGAAACCAAACGCAGGCCCCAAACCCCCGGTTTGGGCTGCCGTGATGTGCATACTTTTGCTGATCATCCGGGTACCCATGAGCTGGCACAAAGCTTACCTCGCACAGCGCCCTACCTGGATCGGATGGAATATTTGTCTGGTGTCGCTCACGGCCACTCTGGAACCTCCGAAACTTGACCGCCTTCGCACACTCCTGCTGAAAGTCCGGTCCTCCGATGCGGTCCCTTTGCACCTGCTCCGCAAACTCACCGGTAAACTCCTCTGGGTGTGTTCCCTTTTTAGCCCGTTTCGGCCTACTCTGGCTCCGCTCTACCTTGATCAGGGTAAACCATCCCTGGTTCACGTGGCCTTAAATCCTGCCAAGTGGGCCTTGTTCCGTGCTGGACTTTCGGACTCCCTTGTCCTTCAAACGGACATCGGTGTCGCATCCTGTCCCGCTCAATGTTCCCTTATCTCCCTTTCCGGGAAGGAGGTTTCGTGCCACTCCGATCTTCCTGTATCGTTTCGGGGGGAGCGTCGTACGTGGATTTCCGTTCGCATGCCCCCCGATTCCGACAGGAAACTTTCCAAGGAATCAAACCTGGTCCTTGATATGTGGAAGTCCTGCCTTGCGGATTTTTCCCCCGTATTTCCGTTACAGCTGGGTAGAGACTTCCCGTGCGATGCCTTTGCGGATGCCTGCGCAGATTCCTCCCATGCCGGCTTGGGTGGTTTTGTGTCAAGTTGCCGTCCGGCAAATGTGCCTGGTTCCGTCAGCACTTCTCCAACGCTGATTTGCACCAGCTCTTTCCATGGTTTCCACCCGGCACCTCTCCTCAAGCTTGCATCGCCGCATGGGAACTGCTTGGACAGATGGCCCTCCTGCGGGTGGTTGCCCTTTTCATCCCGGCGGCTTCTCACCCGGTTCATGTTACCACCCGATGTGATAACTCGCCGTCTGACTCCGCTTCTTGGAAGGGCCTATCGACGGCCAGAGGCCTTTGTGACCTTCTCCCGGCTTACTTTGCCTGGCAGCGTTTCCTCAGTATCTCTACGTACATTGATCACGTTCCGGGTTTCCGTAACACGATAGCTGATGGCCTTAGCCGTGATGCTGACTCGGAATCTCTTGGTCTTTCTGATTCTGATCGAGTCGAGATCCCGTGGCTCCTCATTTCCCGTCTGCCCCGGCCATCCTATAGCCCTGCGGCTTCCCTGAATATCTCCCTTTTTCCGGCTATGGACTCTTGAATTGGCTGGGTTTTTCCCCGGTACGGCTAGTCCTCCTTTCTACTAAGGGGATCTATATCCTTGGCCGAAAACCCAGCCTGGTTTTCCCGGCACCGGGATTCTCCGATTCGGATCCGCCCGGTGCCCGCATACATACCGTAGCTTGTCTCAGGACCGGTCTCGTGATATACCGATCGACCGGGTCCGGACTTCGCTGCCTGAGCCATCGGTAAAAAGGAAGTTGCTTCTGTTCATCTCTGGTGCCTGCACCTTATTACTGCCGTACCGCAGACGTAACGGACTAGTGCTTCCGGACAAACGGCCAGAGTTTGTTTCGATTCGATGCGGCTGTCAAATTCGGGCCAATGGGTTTCCTCGTGGAAAGACCCGCTGCCCCACAGTCACGGGGGCGCTGAGATCTGAAGTGCGCGAAGCCGAGAACCGCTTCAGTCGAAGGCTCAAGCAGTAAAGCGTGGCCTTCGTTAGATGATTAGATCTGGATTCAATAGCCTAGATGGAACGCAGCCGAGTGCAAGCATAGCTTTCCATGCCTACAACCTCCGCGAGCGATGCATAAGTTTTGCTACGAGGTCTCAAAAGAGAAAATACCGTGTTCGGAAGTTCGGGTAGCTAACCTGACTTCAACCGTGGCTCCTGCTCGCCATGGGGAGCGTGTTCTCCGAGGAAGCTGAGGCACGTCTGGCAAGTTGCTGTGGGATGTGGTGGGATGTGAGCCTCAAAGGGCAAGTGATTATCAGATTGGCAGGAGCACGTTGCCCCTGTGCCGGTCCTCGCCTCATCGCTGTCCGGTTGCCAACCGGGCTGGGTGTTACTATGCAACGCTGTGCAGTATGAATCACTAGCCAGCTGGCTGCAGGGCAAGCATGCACAGATCCTTGAAATCCTGCAGAAGCCTAGTAGCTTTATGTAAGCCGTCGAAAGCATGCACGTGCACACCTTCATGCTCGTACTGTTACAGCGTTTTGGACCTTCATCCCCATCATGTAGAAGAGCAAACCCTGGGATTGTCAAGGTGTGTCTGCATGTCCACTGAGTCCACTGTGGTGACGAATGCGTGGCGACGTGCCCTGCCGCATTTGCAAATCATTAGATTCCTGAATGGACTCGCAAAGTGCATGCTGTGGTCGGGAGGCCAAAATCTGCTTTGACAAGCACTGTGGCGCCAGACTCGCCGGAAGTGATGATGACGGAGGCGTAATTGAGAGAGACGCTGCAGATTGCAGGATTCGCAGGCGTGTTCAACACCATCTGCTTTGCAGGAGAGCCTCGCCGCAGACGTGCGAGCTGTTGGCACGCTGCCGTTGGAGCAAGATGCTCTTCAAGTCATGCTCCTTTGGCGTGTTCAGTTGTGGCCACGGCCACTGGTTCTGCGAAATGTGGCTTGGTACTTGCCAATATACGAGTTTTCTGGAGCCGCTGGCTGACTCATGGCAGGTCCATCGATGAACGCATCGACGAGGGCGTTGCCACGTGCCCTGGCCGAAGTGTTACAATACATCAAACGCAGGCGATCCGAGCTGGACAAAACCAGCTTGTTCTTGCGGCATCATGCGTTCCCCACAAGCCCATGGCTTGTTTCACTTTGTGGTTTCAGGCCAACCTCCGGTCTTACAAACGTCGTGCCCGACTCGGCCTGAGTGATCCTTAAACCGAGGGATCAGTAGAGTAGAATCATAGGCCGCGCGAGAATGCGCTGGGGCTCGTGCAAGATGTTTGAAGATGAGTTTGCAAGGCAGACGGCTGGTGCGCAGCTCTGTTCAACGCTGTCGTGGACTACCTTCCTGCGTGGACAGCCTTTGAGGTGCCGCCGTCACGCTCGCGGATTCCAGGAGTAGCATATAGAATCGTACCCTTGTTTTGTTCGGGATGTTTGTAAAAGCATGCAGAGCTGCAGAGCAGACTCGATGCGGAAAATCGCTTCGTCTGAACACAAACCGCGCCCTTCTCCCCAGCAGATCTCTTCAGTTCGACCCGGCCGGAAAAATGATTACAGTTAGGGACCCCGCATCACCCAAGATTTAGCACGACACTGTTCGTGGGAGGGAAGAGATTGGGAAATAGGCACAGCTAACTTTTGGGAGGTTATAGTAGAACAGGGGGGACGGTTACAGCCTGCGGGTTACAGAATATGTTGCTGGATCTGAGCCGTGCAGGATTTGCAGGGGCTCTTCGCCGCAGATGCGCAAGCCATGCCCCTTTGGCATGTTCAGTTGTGGTCACAGCTGCGGGTTCTACGAAAGCTAGCCCGGTACTTGCAAGTGCAAGCTCTGGAACGCGGGTTGCGGGGAGCATGCCATGGCAGGTCCATCGATGAAAGCATTGACGAGTGCGTTGCCACGTGCCCTGGCCGCATGCGGGCGCCATTACATTCCATCGCCGATTCACGGAAACATACAATTCATGCTGTGGTTGGGGCCTGGCATGACTGGCTAGTGTGGAGTTTATCGCACTCCGGCGCGTTCCCAGATCCACTGCGAACGCCCGAGATCCCTTTTCTGGTTAGCTCGAGGCCAGAATCTGGCCTGGACTCGCCAGAAGTGTTGGCAGAGGAGGCTAAATTGAGAGAGCGAGTCTGCAAATGTACGTTGCGTGCAAGCTCATGCACAAGTCGCTACCGCGTGTTGGGGCTTTGGGCTTGCAAGGCGGGCGGCTGGTGCACGGGTCTGTTCAACCTCCTCGCCGGGGAGGTGCCTCACGCAAGCTATCTCAAGCTTGTGGACTAAAGGATAGGTGCAGGATTGTGTAGGCGTGCGGTCTATGTGAGTGGCCTGTCAGTGGCAGCATGCTGAACCTGCAGGCTTCGCATGCTGGCTATGTGCTTGGCATGCTCACTGGCTGTTTCGACACCTCCGTCACCACTGGCTGCTTTGCGCAGTGGTCGTAGTTGTAAGAAGTTCAAGTTGTAAGCTGCGCACGTCGCCTCAACCGCCTCGGCCCGGCCGGCATCGGTGGGAAACAACGACACCCAGAGCTGTATGGAGTCACCATTGCATGTGCGGATGGCTCAGGGCTTCATGCAGGGCTTCCAGGATTACAAATGGTTACAGTGGAGAGAAAGAGATGCTTTGCTGATCGTACGGCGGACAGGGGAAATCAGGGACACATCCACAACCAGGGCGGATGGCCAAGGCGAATGAAAAGCTAGGCGTCAAGGGACAGGCATCAATCACGTCCATTGGTCCATTGACACTAGAGTTCGTCCAGACAATGTGAATAGATTCACGCAGCACAGCGGACCCAGATGCAATCTCAGGTTGGGTCGAGGTTTCGGTGGTCCTGCATCCCTGCCACGCTTGCGGGTTAATCCTGGCAGTAGCGTGGCTCGCAGTGGCCTGACACTTGCAAGGCCCAATCTACTGGAATGGCTGGAGGCGCGATACGCCGGAATTAACACATTCTGCGCTTGGTTTTTTGTTTCAGGTACCGGAGATGTGTGCCCTACGCATGCTTTCCAGGGAAGCCATCGATCTGCAGGCAGGGGTTTGTCGTGTCAGTGCGCTGGATCGCATTCCCCGATTCCAGGGGTGGCGTCACATGCCGACGCCTTGCACCAAGCTTTGGAAGAGTAGCGAGTGCCGGGCCGTGCAGGTCGTCGCTCGGCACGTGGTGGAGACCGGCGGCTTTGACAGGCCAGGCCACCAACTCTGGCTTGGTAGGCAACATCTGTCCATCCTCCATTCCGACCCTACACAGCTCACACGTCCTGGCCTCCTCAATCGGCTTATTTGTCTGTTGTTGCAGGCCAGAAAGTGTGATCTTTCATAGCCAAGTTTTGGAAGATAAACATGCGGCGGCTGCACAGCGGAAACGATTCCAGTGCGACTCGGTTGCCGTAATGGGGCTAGTGGGGGAATGTTCTTTTTGGTTTATTCATTTGGAACCCTCAGAATCAGAAGCCTCCCATCGTGCGCTTTCAACCCGAGGCCAGTTGCTGCACCTGCGCTTTCAGTGTTGTTGGCGACACTGCCCAGGCTTGGCAGATGGTTTGATTGAAAAGCTAGCGGACTTTGGCCTATCAGAGGACCTCGCGGTGTGCAAGGCTGCAAATGCTCTACTCAAAGCTTACTCAGGATATCTGTTGCGGAAAGACCGGGTGCGGGAAGCGGTGCTGCGCTTGCTGGAGCAGCTGGTCCCAACATCGGGCATATTTTGGCTAAGAACCAAGCTGGTCCTAGCCTACGTTTTCCCGAGTAACAGCACACTGGTCCGCAGCGAATGGCAACACCGCCGACGCTGGGTTTCTGTGATTTTCGAAATTCTGTCGCAGCAGAACATCCAGAAGTGCAAGAAGTATTGCGCGGCATGCATCAGAGTCCTTTGTGCCGGAGGTTTCGCAGATTATTCCCGTGAGGAGCTGCAGGAGGCGGCAGCAATGTCGCCCGAAGCTGTGAGGGCCGAACTTATGGAGCTGATGGAAAAACCACCCATTATCCAGAGCGGCTCAGGAGGATCTACAGGAGAGGGCCAAGTTTTTGGAGCAGTGCTTGCAAACTCGCAGTATAGGTAGTAGTAGTAGGGAGACCCCTTAAAGGGTACCCCTTCTAACTTCTGGCTCTCGTAAAAGGGACCGTATTGAATTGAGAGGGTCTACATCCAAGGGTCCCCCCTAATGGCCCTAATCCTAACTCCCACAGTCACGGGCCGAGAACACCTTAGAATTAGGATTCCATGCCTGTCACTGTCCTTCCAGCGTCACATAGCATTGCCGCTAATGTTTTGGAGAGGACTATCGCCCGGGTGCTTGAGGCGATGATGATGGCGAGCCAGGGCTTGGATGAAGCGTGAGCAGGTGCCTGAAAACCAGGAATGATAGACGCTCCAAGCGGTGGAGTTGGACCCAAAGTATCGACGGCTTTGCGTCATGGTTTCGTTCTCGAGAACTGGAAGAACTGCGATGTGTGCCCAAGACTCCACTCAAATTATTCGCCGTGGCTTGCCGAAAGCTGCAATGTCCGTGACAAGCTGTGCAGCTGCTTTGTTCTGGGGCCTCTGCCCGAAAGTGGCACTGTACATAGCCCACATTGAGCAAGCATACTGGCCCGGGCGCTCTGGGCCGCCGCAGCGTGCGAGTTGCGGATCGCAAGTGCGGATCTCTCTGCTGATCTCCTGGCATGAAGAGAAGCCGTAAGGCACCCTGGTACATCTTGTAGAACTGTACTTCACTTCATCCCATCCCCTTCAAGTACCTCTCAGTAACGAGGTTAAGTAAAATGATCGGTTTTCTGGAACAGTACTCATGTAGCTTTCCAACCTTGCAACCTCACTAAACTTTTCGCCGCCGAGCCTTCAGCCCTGCTCTCAGTGCACGGTACTGCGAGAATGTCGGCAAATCGGCGAGGCTCGAGAAAACCAGAAAGGGTCAGCAAGTTGGAGCCGCTGTCGAGATCAGCGAACCTCGCAATTGGGTATGGGCGGTATGGGTATGATGTGTGCGTGGAGATCGAGTGGTGGCACACCGGTTCCAACAACCGACTGCGCGGCTCGAAAGCGCTGCAGAATGTGACACTTGCCGGCACACGGCTTTCTCGTGTGAGTCCCTTTCGCATCTCTCGACGGTCGTATCCCCATCATCGAACTCAGCATAGCACACGGCCCAATTATGGTTTGGGAGGGCTGGGACTACAAAGCAAAGCGCCCGAAGGTTTTGACGCCATCTCACTCGAAGGCGTGTACGGCTGCTTGCGCCCTCGTCGATCTTTGCAAATGTTTGCATTAATAGTGTTTGGTACGTGAACAACAGGTTGGCCATGATGCCACGCTCGCCGGTAATTCGTGAGTTTCAGGGCTCGATGCGGCAGTCGGTTTGAGATTCCTCGTGAAAGACTCAGTGCCCCAAGCCCCAAACTCTCATTTAGGCGATAGTGGTTGATCACATTTTAAGCGGGATCTGAAGCAGTTACCCTTGCAGTACTTCATTGATATTTACAATATTGGAGGTCGCAGGAAAAAAAACAAAATAAAGGAGAAATAAATCCAAAAAAAGGAGTGGGGCCATTCTCAAATAACTGAACATGCCAGACAAACCATGCAAACACCTGGCTGGAGGCCAACAGAACAGAACCTCATGTTCAAATTCCCCTTTGACATGGATTCCACGAACTTGGAAGGGCTGGGTTTTCAGAGGGACGCTTAATATTATTGTCCTGGGACGGACAGTAGCAGTGCCACCAGATTGCACTTTACATACCCACAACTCGAAGGATTGGTTTTCGCCAATTTGCCGACTTCCTCGATTTGCGAGATGTCATGGAGAGGGCAAGCTAGGTAACCGAGATCTACTCAAGGAAGAAGGCGCCAGACCACTTTATGCACGTGCTCGATCAAAGAATTTGCTCCACTCTGAGAGTCGAGTCTGCCACGTTGCTGCCGCGTTGCTGCCGCCGCTATTGCCACGCGGCTGTATCTGTTGCGCTGTTGCCGTCGAACATAGTGAGTCTGATCGAAGTTTCATCAAACCCCATTTCATGATATGAGCCAGAGCAAATCTCGTTGCCTGGCTCCTGATACTTCTTCCGACTGTCGAGGCTTGCAGTGGCTTTTGACTTGCATGAATTCGTTAATCTACATGGCAAGACAATTGACTTCATCAGGACAAGTCACTGCACATGTAGGCTGGCAATCTACTGCGGCCATCTGACATTGGCAGGCTTCGTGAGGAAGTAGCATCTAGCGTCCCACTTGCAAGAGCACCCTCTTTGTGGCACGGAGCCACGATAGCCCGGAAAATCCGTCAACTCTGTCACCGGCTGCTTTGAGATCGGAATTTTGTTTGAGGAGTGAATCAGAACTACATGGCAGGTGTGGCACAAGGAGTGAATCAGAACTACATGGCAGGTGTGGCACAAGACGTGTTTGCATCAAACAAGTTGCGTCTGGGGGAAGGCAGTGCGCCGGCGACGAAGCTGAGCCATTCAGCTGCCACTTGCGCCGCCGCCCCACTGCAACGTTGCAGCTTGTCGCTAGTCGCTTTAGTGACACAACAATGCCATGAACTTGCCTGCACAAGTCTTGCAGTCTCAGCGCGAGCAGGTTGGCAGCTTTGGCTCAACTTCACGTTTTGATTTTGGATGGAATTTCTGATATCAAAATCCTGATTCAGGGTGGTTCTCATGAAGCAGAGTTTCGGTAGCCATGCGATCAGTGAAAGGAATCTTCCGCCTGTTGCTGCTCGTTCCCATTCTGGAGTGGCTGTTGTGGAATCCCCGCCGAGCTTGGGTGAAGGGGCCCTTTGCCACGCAGGTACGTGTCTCAGGCAGGCTTCCGTTGCAGGCGCAGAGAGTGTTCAACGATGGCGAACTGTCAGCATTCAAGCAGGAGCAACTTGTTCCTGTGGAAGCAGCGTGGCGAGAACTCCTGGAGTACATCATCATGGAAAATCAGCGCATCGCAATGATACGTGCCCCGCCGAGGTCTGGAAAAAGCTTCCTTGGAAGCCTCGGTCGCCGAGGAGTTCCAGCGGGACCCTGGGGGGCGGTTGAAGTGCGATACTGCGCCAACTTCGACCCTGGCGTGTTTGACCTTTTCATTCGTGGCTTCAAGAGCGAGAGCGTGGCAGAGATGGCAAAAGACTCTGCTGAATCTGGCTTGGATGGCGACAGAGCTACCGTAGTGTACTACTTTGATGAGGCACATGAGCTACCGGCGGAGATCATCAGCTCCTTCATTAAAAATGGTGAAGACAATGGTTATGCAATCTTTGCAACGGCTGGCAGGGCCACGCCAGTGAGGAGCTTCATTACGCCACCAGAGCTGGTAGCCAAGACATTACTCTTTCGGTTCCCAGCACCGAAGGAAACCATGAGGAAGTGGCTGGAGGACCGTCTGAAAAAGCTTGGGCTGGACAGTCACACAGCGACGGCCAGCGCAGACCTTCTTCTCAACAGCGCTGCAGGCAGCATTGGTGTTGTTACGTTCTTTGCAGTGGAGATAGAACAGGAGCTAAAAGGGAACAAAAGCCTTAGATTTATCCGTGAGAAACTGTGCAGTCTGATCTCAAGCTTCAGTGGCTTGTACCTTCGGATCTTCGGAACCGAGAATGGCAAACCAGACGAGACTCAGGCGGAGCTACTCTCGGCGATGCGATGCACGGGATTGTTGATGAGAACCACTCCTGCGGGTGAGGCTCTTCCATTGTGGGACCCCACCATCCCCTCGCACAGACAGGGATTGTCCAATGCATATTACGCGGTTTGTCCACCTGACAACCAGGATGATTGTCTAATGCGGACATCTGCAGCGGAAATCATTTCTTTCGTGCACCCCCTTCAGCCAGAAATTTATGCAGACAAGTTCAGGTATGCATGGAGTGGTATTTCACTTGAGGAGCGCTGGCTGACAAATTTCAGCCGTGACCATTCCGACCCAGCAAACACTCCCACAAACGTGGTTGACCTGGTGCTCTCGTGGCTCTCCCATGTACCGACCAAGACCCTCTTGTCCATTCATGGCGGAAACAACGTAGATGCTCGTGAATCCACTCTGCAGCACACCCTCTACGAATTCTGCAGAGACGCCCTCACTCTGGAGGAGGATGTGCAGCTAGAGGCATCATCATCGAGTGGAGGAAAGCTGGATGTGTACATTGAGGGCAGCATGGGTGTTGAGCTGCTCATCCGACCTGCCAACAGCAACAAGATGACCACCCAGTCAGTTTTGGGCAACGCAGCAATGAAAGAGTCCTTGCTTGATCATGCCCGTCGAGGCGATAACAAGTACAAGGACTTGGCTACACAATGCAAGCTCGGTTACATCACCATGCTGGTGACAACCTTGACTCAAAGCACCGCAGACGAAGAGTGGCAGCGCTTTCAAGCGCTCTCATCCAAAGATTTAGCAGGTCTTGGCTATCCTGTATTGGTTGCCGTTGCCAGCTTCGGATGGGGCACGTGGGACGTGTTTCTGCATCGCCCCCGCCACGACCCACTTCGGTTTTCCATCCCTCGCCAGCGGCTCATGCTTAAGCTCGTGGACGACAAGCCGGTCAGCGCCAGAAGCTACTACCGCAAGCCCCAAGAGGTCTGGGTGCAGGAGCTTCAGATCCAGGGTGATGTGCATACTCTGGTCGGCAAGGTTTTCAAGATCGACAGTGCCCCGAATGACGCTGCTGACCTCGCCAGCCGGATCAAAGCCGTGGAAGACCTTTCCTGCCGTCTGTCAAAGCTAGCGATCTACCGCCTTGACTGGAAGGGCGAGTGGAAGGAGGAACGGGCAGGCCAGGTTCTGTTTGAGAACACAGAGGAAAGTCCGTACGGCTTCCGCCAGTTGCCATAGTTGCACGAGCTCTCACCAGGTAGTGTCCAAGTTGACATTTGACAAGTTTTTCGTTTCACTCAGCAATGGGGACAGGCCGCGCACGCACAGAGGGCCATGCGCAAAGCAACCTATTCAGTCCTCTGCGCAGAAATTCACTTGCCAGTGTTCGTGAGTCGATCTGTGGCATGCTGACTGCAGTGCATGCGGTGCCTGGCGGGACTGCATTCCGAGGTTCTGCATTCATGCCCACTTGAAGCGTTAGCGGCCTGGTGATCGCAAACCTCGGCAGACAACTGCGCAAGTCTGAACGTCTAACTGCGAGCCACCTTTGGAGTTGAGTGTTTGAGCTGTGCCTCCCCAGGTCATTGCACGGTGCAGACTCCGGCCGACCAGCCTCAAGAGATTGCCCTTGAGGTCCTGGGCTTGCTTGCTAAGCTCTTGGTTGTGAGTGCGCTCGGTGACACGCCCAGGTCTCTCCGACAACTTCCAGGCTCGCGTCTTGCAAATCAAGGGTTACCCTTGCCCCGAACCCTTGCGGCCGAACCTCTAGAACCTACTCCCACTAGACTGCCTTGTGACTGCCCTGTGTGTGTTGTGCGTCCCTGGTTGCCTTAAGTCCCGAACCCCTTTCTTCCCGAGCCGTTAGAACCCTGAGCCCGTTTGGGCCGGTCGAATTTTTTCGTTGCCTCCCCGCGACCAAATCAGGAAGTTGCAAACCTGGCGGTGACCAAACGTTTCCTCTGCAAAACTCCAATGAAGAGATATTAGCACAGTCTATGCTGGGTAGTATGGGTAGTAAGTTACTACCCAGGACTTTTTCGTGGAGACGAGCCCGCGGCAGCCCCTGGGCGCGCTGGCGCAGCGTTTAGGGTTTAGGGTTTAGGGGGTTTAGGGCTTAGGGTTTAGGGCTTAGGGCTTTGGGCTTAGGGTTTAGGGTTTACGGCTTAGGGCTTAGGGCTTAGGGTTTAGGGTTTATAAGGATGTAAAACTTATTTTTCCTCTGTAAATCCTATGGATTTCGTGAACCTATTTGCAGTGCAGATAAGGCCCCAGACAGGTTTAAGTAAATTGAAAGGTCTTGGCCACAGAGCAAGGTTTAAGTAAATTGATAGGTCCTGGGCCCCAGAGGGGAGGTTTAAGTAAATTGAAGGGCCCTCGGCCCCAGAGTAGAGGAAGGGCCTGGGCACCAGAGGAGGGGGGTTTTAGGGTTTATAAGAATGTAAAACCTGTTTTTCCTCTGTTAATCCTATGGGCTTCGTGAACCTATTTGCAGTGCAGATAAGGCCCCAGACAGGTTTAAGTAAATTGAAAGGTCTTGGCTACAGAGCAAGGTTTAAGTAAATTGATAGGTCCTGGGCCCCAGAGGGGAGGTTTAAGTAAATTGAAGGGCCCTGGGCCCCAGAGTAGAGGAAGGGCCTGGGCACCAGAGGAAAGGGTTTTTTCTTGCGAAAGCTGCATTTCGCCAGTGGGCTGCATTGACTGAACGTCCTCGAAGCGAGGGTGCAGTTTTGCAACGGTCCCCGCGCGGAGCAGTCGACGCTGTCTTGCGAAAGCTGCATTCCGCCAGTGGGCTGTATCTAGCCTCTGCACGTAGCAGTGATGTTCTAAAGCCGCTGATTGAGTCTTAGATGCGCGATTCTCTCGGCCTTGACGCCACAAAAATGCTGTTTGTTCCATGGCGTCTTGTCAGGTAGGAGCGAGCTCAGGCAGCTTCATTGATAGCGAAGGCGAATCTTGGCTGTTCCTGCTCGCACTGCCATGTTCACGGATCCGAATGGATGCTGTCTTGCAAGAAAAAAACAGACCGTGTGAGCTCGAACTGGTGCTTGCTGGTGCATGTCTCTACCTTTCAGGCTGGAAGTGCCTCCTCTGGCTGCGTAGCTTGGGTTCAAATTGCCTTTTGTTCTTAGTGTTTCGGCGGTGTTCTGGGTGGACGCTGTCTTGCGAAAGCTCAGTGTGCAGCTGGTGCTCTGGGTGAACGCCGTCTTGCGAAAGCTCAGTGTGCTGCTAGCCTGCCTTGCCGATGGCGCAGAACAACTTGATTGAAACCACCTTGGAGCGCCTCACTAAGCAAAACCACGCTTCCATGAAGGTTTTGCTTCGCTACGTCTATTGTGAAATCAAGCAAATGCCCACTGCCAGAGGAGGTTCCTGGTGCAAAATGATTATGCGCTTCGTGGACAAAGACGGCAAGGGTCTGTACGCGGAGCTTCGCGCGTCGGACGCCAACACTCTGAGGAAGGTGGCTGAACCCTGGAGCAAGGATGTCTTCTATGCCACGCACCTCAAGCCGGTCAGTAACAAATTCTTCGCTGGCCTCTATGTGGATTTGTCAGACAGAGCCTCGAGGGCCAAAGTGATTCCGGTTGCTTCTTCCCACCCGTCGGCGATGGAGATGAAGACCCTCTTCCCCGTTGCGAGGTCGGACTTCTCGGTGTTGGCGACACAGTGCCAAGGGCGCGAGCGTGTGGATGTCATTGGACTGGTCACGGAGCTTGAGATGCCGAATACCTCCAAGCCCAAAGCCAACCTCTGGTTGAAAGACACGTCGGGCAAGGAGATGCTGGTCAACATCTGGGGCGACCGCTTCGTAAAGAGTCTGGCTGACGCGCACAAAGGTAGCGTCGTTCAGATCGACAACCTTTCCCTGCTCAAGAAGGAGAACGATTCCATCGAAGGCGCCGCGGAACATTTCATCGACAACGACAAGCACGGCTTTAGTATGCTGCACGTGGACCCTAAAGGCGATCGGGCACAGGAGCTTCGGGATCTGGAACCCACACAAGGCGATCGCATCTCCGTTCCTTGGTGCCCTTCCTTGAGTGGTGGCGGCAGGCTGACCTCCGACTTGGGGCCCTGCTACGTCGCATGCGCCGCAACTATGAATGCATTCGGCAGCGCAATGGAACAGGGATCAACGCAGGACTGCCTTCGCGTGTTTCTGTTGTGTAGAAGCTGCTTTCCCGTGCCCCAACTTGCATGACCTTGCTTGGCGCAGGAGAAAGTCGAAGTGGCCCTGCACAACGTCTGGCTCGTCGACATCGTTGGGGATCCAGTCTATACTCCGTGCAAAGTGTGCTCCACGAAGATCGACCCAGGGACCAGTAAGTGCAAGCGTGCCACCGATGGATGTCAGACGGAGCCTGCGGATGCCCAGCGAGTGCTGGCCACCGTGCACTTGGCGGACTGGACGGGGCAGCTCAGCAACGTGCTTGTGGGAGGACCGGAGCTGGCGGCGCTGGCCCGGGTCCGTGACGAAGAGAAGCTGGTTCAGTTGATCCAGTCGAAAGGCAGTGAGGCAGTCTGCTTCAGGGGGCCGTGCGACGCACGGCTGGGGACGTCGCACCGCCTCGGCCAAGCCCGCGGGGGCTCCGCGCAGCAAGCTTCGCAGGCGAGTGTGGCCGGCGGACTTGCTCCCCCGACCCAGTTTCAGGTCTTGGCAGCTCGCGCCTGCTTCGGCGAGGAGTACGACGAGGACCGGCGGCCAATGGTGAAGAAGGTCACCCGTCTTGCGACCGAGAAGCGAGATGGTGCTGTGCTGCCAGTCCAGTGTCCGATTGCCGATTTGATGTGCTCAGACATGGGCACCTTCTTCAAGTTAGGCGGTGTCTTCGCAAACTACGTGACCGTCGCGGCCTTTGCCGAGGACGAGCCCACCGTGGAGGAGGTGTTCAAGGACGAGGAGAAGCACCTGTTGACGAAGCACGCAGAGGTGTACTCGTACACGCTCGAGCGTGTAGGAGACAGAAAGGCATTCGGGATCGAGGCTTTTTGTCAATTCACAAATTGCTTCCTCTTCAACATGGCAGACGGCCAACCGCGCTTGATCTTGGGCCGTGTGATCAAGAATGCGGCAACCAACGAGGTGGTTTTGCAAGTGGAATGGATGTCGAAAGTGACACCAGAGCAGATCCGGACATTCTCGAAGGAGCGTGAGATGGTCTGGAACCTCCTCCAGGGCGGACCGGCGTTGCAAAGCAACAAACGACCTGCCAGCAGCCTCGTGCAGGAGACGCCCTCGAAAGTGAAGTGCGGCGCTTGGGAAATGGACTGAACCTCCTCGAAGCGAGGGTAGAGTCTTGCGAAGGTCCCCGCGCGTAGCAGTGGACGCTGTCTTGCGAAAGCTGCATTTCGCCAGTGGGCTGCATTGACTCAAACTCCTCGAAGCGAGGGTGGAGTTTTGTAAGGGTCGCCGCGCGGAGCAGTCGACGCTGTCTTGCGAAAGCTGCATTTCGCCAGTGGGCTGGATTGACTGACCCTCCTCGAAGCTAGGGTGCAGTTTTGCAACGGTCCCCGCGCGGAGCAGTCGACGCTGTCTTGCGAAGGCTGCATTCCGCCAGTGGTCTGCCTGAAGCCGAGAACCGCTTCATCCGAAGGCTCGCGCCCTTATGCAGGTGATGCACTAGATTTGGACTTCATAGCTTAGATGGAGCGCAGCCGAATGCAAGCGTAGTTTTCGGCCTCATGGGGAGCGTGTTCTCCTACGACGAGGGGGCACGGCTGGCAAGTTGATGTCGGATGTGGGTTTCAAAGGGCACATGATCAGATTGGCAGGAGCAGGCGGCACAGGGGTCACAGCCTGTCCTCGCCTTATCTGTGCTGTCCCTGTTGCCTGCCAGCACCTCATAGTGTTCTGAAACTTGATAGCTTTTTCCTGCAGCAGGAGGAGGAGGAGAAACCTGCCGCCGACTTAGACTGGAGGTTGGGTGACACTTCCGCCTGCAATGCGGTGCAGCATGAGGAATGCCTCGAAACAACCACGACAGCCGCCGCCTCATCAAGCTAGGGTTAGATATGCCATACAGGAGTCAAGCAGTCGAAACCATGCCCGTGCACGTCCTCAACCACTTACAGCCTTTTTTGCCCAACAACTCATGCCATGGGTCATCACCCTTATGTAGATGAGCAAAAGCTTGGGATTGTCACGGGGTGTTTTGCAGTCTCATGTGAGGGGCGTGGAAGACGTATAAGTTAGCAGGAGCTGCGGGCCGTTGAGGACACCTGGTGCCTGTTGTCCATGTTTCTCACTCGTATTAGCACGACACGAGTACCACTACAACTAGCAAGTACACGGGGGTCACTTTATCTCGCATCGCTCGGTTTTTTGTATACATCGAACAGCGTCCACACCCGGGGGAGCGTTGTTCTCAGCGCACATCCGATGTTGTAGCGGCGTTGGTTTTGGCGACTTCGATGGGCATCCACACTGGGGCAATGCAGCACTGCGCAGCGGAGTTGGTTTCTTTACTGTTCCGCTAGGGTCTTCATGCTGGTTGTGGCCGTGGTCGTGTTCGTATTGGTGTTGGCGGTGGCGGTGACGGTGGGCGTGAAAGTGGTGGTGGTGGCGGTGGTGTTGGTGTTGTTGTTGCCGTTACCGTTACTGTTCCGGTTGCTATTGCTGTTGCTGCTGGCCCGGGGTAAATACAGCTCGAGTTGCCGTGCTACTGTTAGAGGCCGAGTCATGTTGAGGTGAAGGAGTCAGTACAACGACGAAGAGTCGTTGTTTCTGCCGGTTGTATTGATCAAAATCGCAAGCCGTCCTCCTGAGAGCTTCTTCATGGCTTGCTGACAACCGCCCCGCCCCTTGACACCTCTCTTCGTCTGAAGTTCGGGGTTTGTTGGTAGTTTAGAAACTACCAGAGTCACTTGGTTAGTTCCTCAGGAAAGTCGGAATGCCGAGGTGCTGCTGAACCGTGCAGACGGCTTTTCTGCGGTGCTGTCCGGCATGTGATGATGATGATGATGACACTTGCTTGGCCGAGGAGGCTTGTCCATGTTTGATGTTCTTGCACACACGCCAGGGCCTCGCACAGATGGCAGCCAAGAAGGCCGGATGGCCGTAACCGTTTGTGGGCCGTGCGGGTACGTCACGCCCTCTTCATGGACTCTGAACCCCTGCAGGCGAGCATCGGCATTCTGTTCAGAGCCTGGCGCGGACGGGGGCTGTGACAGCACGCGTGCGAAACTGCACACGGCTGCAGGCTTCCACTGCATATGTTGAACTCCGCAGGAGAAGCGTTTGCACCAAAGTCGCCCGTGCCGGTCGAAACCTCGGATTGGGGTGCCTTTTGGCACCTGGCTACAGGATTCAGGTGGGTGCCCCGGCTGATTCTGAGGCCATCAGCTGTGGCCCCCGCCCAGGCTCGCTCTTCACTTTGAGCTTTGGGGTTCCGATGTCTTGAGGCTTGGCACATGTTAGCTGTCCGTTGCTGGTGGACGCCAGGCCAACGCTCACAATCGGCCCCCCGGTGAGCCCAGGCCTGAGGAAGTTGTGTTCACAAAAGCGGGCCCGCAGCAAAGGGGGCTTTTCTTCTTGCCAGGTGGGGGTGGCGGCTTCGTGTTCAGTGCCCTACTCAGAGCGATCTTGGTTAGTGTGCACCGGCAGCGTCTGGTAGAGAGGCATTTGCAGAGCAGGCCAGCGCAGCTGCACGAAGCAAAAGAATGCCACCTGTCTGGCGGCACCGCGCAGCCCGATGCTCATGAACAGCGTTCGGGGTGTGCCGGCCGTGAGGTCGCATTCGGTGTGGGCCTCAGCGGCTGCGGCTGAAGGCCGTGCACGGGCCACCCACGAGGGCCTGCGCAACAAACGGTGTCTGAGGCGGACTTCTGCTGCTCCCAGTGCGGAGTCAACTGCTATGACCCCGTCGTGGTCACGACCACCGAGGCCTTGCAGGATGCGGGGCACTTGTGTCGCGAGCAGCACTGCGGAAGCTGCGATGCCGAGGCGCCTCGCGTGGTGGTCCGGCGCCACTACAACACGGTGGTCAGGACTGCTCAGCTGTGCTGGCTGCAACAGAACCTGAAGAAGAAGCCCGGGGCTCCCGTTTTTGTGCGAACTCGACGCAGCCCGGCGTGCCTTTCGCTTCTCCGTAAGGTTCCCCGGCATTCCTTAAAGGATCCCCACAAGGATGCTAGAGGCTGTGAACTGTGAGCTGGTGCGAGGATGGAAGAGCGAGTGTTGGCCGTAAGTTTGTCTGCGATCCTGGCGATCCTTTATTGACATGTGGATGCTTGGCATGAGGAGGGTTCCGGTGAATCACCATGTCCCTTGGCTGCAGTTGCAGTTGCAATGCTTGCCATGGCACACTGCCCTTCTATCCGGGCTGCCAGGTGAAGGTGCAGATGCCGCGGCCTGCGCCCATCATCCACACCCTGCACGTTGTTGCAACGCCCTCAGGCTTGCTCGAGAGATTTGCTTTTCAGTCCCTACTCTAGCCGGCCTTCTGATCTACGTCCCTCTTCATCAGAAGCCCAACGCTCACCACGACGGCGGCGACTACGACCACGAAATGTGGTCCGGCGCGCACAAGAGGTGGTGCTGCTACAAGTACAAGGAGGACTCACGCACATGTCGTCGCGCGTGACTGTAGCTGCATGCCTGCATGCGGCGACTGTGCCTGTTCTATGACTGCTGCCCTGTGAGGGCTGCCCAAAGCAAGTGGTTGACCGCAACATCTACCACCACCTGACCAAGATTCAGCAGCTTGACTGGCCTCTCATTCTGGCCACTCGCGCAGCTCCTAACATGCCAACTCTGGCTGCTGAGGAAGCTGCATGTGCCGGTGCCGTTGCAGGAGCCGCGGAGTCCTTCAGCCGCTTGGCTTCGATGCAGTGTACTGCAAGTACATGATACTATATACGCAGGCAGCAATCAGTCACGCCGGCTAGCGGCTAGCGATCCGGGGTTGCGCTGGGCTCGAAGACGCTCGACTCGGCAACTCAGATCATCCACAACATCCCGCAAGTCTACCGCGTCCCGAGCCCGCCGAAGTACGTGCACGTGCCGGCGCCGGGGCCCAAAATCCACAAGGTCGCCGGGGGCCGAGCTGCAGCAGCCGATGTATTAAGTAGTTCTTGTCAGCCATGCAGAGTGCCTTGCGGGGGAGGGCTCCGAGAAGTACTGCACCAGGTCACTATCAACAAGGACGTGCCTTATCCTGTCAAGGAGCCTCCCCAGGCACAGTGCCTTCCGCGGCATGATATCCATTCGACAGCGGGGGTCCGCAGGTCATCACCGTCAAGAAGCCCTACACCGTGAAAGTTCAGGGCCACCGTGACAGCCTCAATGCTCAAGCTTCCAGGAGGTCGAGTTCAGCTTGACTCCTTCCCTCGTGAGGCCACTATGTGGACGTGCCCGTGCCGTCGCCTCCCCACATCGTCAACACTGTGCATGACTACGACACTCGGCACAGACCTTCGGTACTGAAAGGTGGCCCTGCCACCGCTGCAGCATTGAAAGACACGGCCGGGAGTGTCGTCTGCCCTCCTCATAGCCTCAGAACTGCGACTCCCATTTCGGCAAGTGGTGCTACGTCTGGTCGGGCACGAAGTGGCTTTGCTGGAAGTATGCCCGGGTGCTGCCCTGAGCAGCATGTGCGGGACGAGCTCTGCACGGCATCTGCAGGAAGCAGTGGTGCTGCGCGCACCAGCACCTGGGCTGCCCAGGACACTTGTTGCTGTGGTCGTGCTGTGGAGTGCCGGTGCAGAAAACGGGGTGGCCCGAAGAAACTTGAATGAAGCCGGAAGGATCTTGGCACCATCACCACGTGGTGACCATTACTGGTGTGCAGCACCTCAAGCACTGTGCGACTCGCCGTTCGTTTTTGTCACCCAGATTAGTTTTCTGAGTGACCTGTGCTGAGGATTGCCACGCGGGCTTGTCCAACTGGTATCATGGCTGGTCCCGCGTCCAGAAATCGTGGTGCTGCGTGGCTCCGTCTTGCTTGAACCGAGATTGCATTCATCTGCATCCAGCAGTCCTGCCATACTGGCACCGCAAGTTTGCCTTCTTTGGCCTTTCAGCTGCCACTCCGAAACTTAAAGATCCTGTAGACTTCAATGCAATATAGTGGGGTGGCGCATGTCTTCGTGTGGCCTCCTCGAGCACGACAGGACCACCACCATCTAATCTGCCCTGGCATGGCGCACGGCCAGTGGCACGCTCGCACTGTCTGCGCCCTACACAGCATGTCGAGTGCCACTGCACGATCCTCAAAGCCTCAAACGGCAACGAATCGCGTGTAGGGGCAACTGGCATGGGCCTGCTGCCGATCC